ACGAGCGGGCGGCAGCAGCAGCGAGCGACGAGCGGGCGGCAGCTGCAGCGAGCGACGAGCGGGCGGCAGCAGCAGCGGGCGACGAGCGAGCGGCAGCTGCAGCGGGCGACGAGCGGGCGGCAGCAGCAGCGGGCGACGAGCGGGCGGCAGCTGCAGCGGGCGACGAGCGGGCAGGCGCTGCAGCGAGCGACGAGGTGGCGGCAGCAGCAGCGAGCGACGAGCGGGCGGCAGCTGCAGCGGGCGACGAGCGGGCGGCAGCTGCAGCGGGCGACGAGCGGGCGGGCGCTGCAGCGGGCGGGCGGCAATGTGCAGGCCTGCGGGGCCGCTGCGGGCTGCGCTATAGCGGTGCGAGCGGCGCACGGGCGGCTAGCCGGTCGCGCTCAAAAGAAATCGGCCGCGCGCGGGCAGCTAGCGGGTCGCGCGCGGTTAAAAAAAAAAAAAAAAAATAGAAAACGAGCCGCGCGCGATTGGCTGGCGGGCTGCGCGCGCGCGGTAGGTAGGAGGCGCACTGGGGCGCGTAGGCGCACGAGGGCGCACGGTAGGTAGGTAGGTAGGTAGGTAGGTAGCGGTGGGCCCTAAGAACGGTCCTAGCGAAGGACCTGCTCTGATACCATGTCGGAATCAACAGACAGGAATGATTGAACTAGCAGTGAAATCAGTACAAGTACCTAACCCTAGAATTGTGTACCCCCTATAGGCTAACCCACTGTAGCCTAAACAAACACAACATATATAATGTTTGACACCTTGCAGCTGCATATAGGTGCGTTGAGATGGAAGCCGAAGCTACCTGTCACCAACATCAAAGGGTTAGATTTCATCTTGGGGCGAGATTTCCTGAAGCGGTTCAACCCCGAGATCGATTGGGTCAACAGCAAGGTGTGCATCTACAACAACGGGAAGCGGATAGCACTGCGAAGCTGGACGGATACAGGGGATATTCCTGAAACGACACTGGCACGGTTCGAACAGACGGTGAACGAGAGTAACACGGGGTACTTAGCACTGGTTATAGCTGCAGCAGAGGAGGAGAGAAAGGGTTCCGAGCTACCCGCAGCAGTGAAAAAGGTCTTGGAGCAGTACAAAGACATCATGCCCGATGACCTACCTGCAGGCGTACCTCCTGCACGCACCCACGAGCACGAAATCGTGGAGGAACCAGGTGCGAAACCCGTCTCACGTGCACCTTACAGACTGAGTCCGACCGAACTGACAGACATGAAGAAACAGATCGAGTATCTACTGGACAGACAACTGATCCGACCATCCACCTCTCCCTACGGCACACCAGTTCTCTTCACTCCGAAACCAGACGACAGTTTGCGGATGTGCATCGACTACCGCGCACTGAACAAACAGACAGTTAAAAACAAATACCCCATACTGCGCATCGACGACTTACTGGACCAACTGCGTGGTGCAACAGTCTTCTCGAAGCTGGACCTACGGTCGGGTTACTGGCAGATCAAGATGGCGGACAACTCGATCCACAAGACGGCGTTCCGTACGAGATACGGCTCCTACGAATACTTGGTGATGCCGTTCGGACTCTGCAATGCACCAGCGACGTTCCAGGCAGAGATGAACCATATTCTACGGCCCCTGCTGGACGAGTGCGTAGTGGTGTACCTGGACGACATTCTCATCTACTCCAAAAACATGAAGGAGCACGTGGAGCATCTGCGGAAAGTGTTCGAGATCCTGCGGAAGAATAAGTTCTACGTGAAGCTGTCGAAGAGCGACTTCGCACTGGAGAAGGTGCAGTTTCTCGGGCACATGGTGAGTGCCAAGGGCGTACACGTAGACCCGCGGAAAATCGAAGCCGTTAAAAAGTGGAAGGTTCCGGAGAACGTGAAGGAGTTGCAACAGTTCCTAGGCTTCGCCAACTACTACAACAGGTTCGTGCCACAGTACGCTAAGATAGCAGCGCCACTGACCGACCTACTGAAAAAGGACACGCCCTTCAAATGGGGTGCTCCTCATTAGCAAGCCATGGAACAGCTACAGACAGCACTGACCACAGCACCAGTACTCATCCTACCAGACCCCGAGAAGGACTACGTAGTTGAAGCAGATGCTAGTGACCAGGCAGTCGGAGCAGTACTGATGCAGGATCACGGAAACGGTTTACAACCTATCGCCTACCTCAGTAAGAAACTGCACGGAGCAGAACTGAACTACCCCATCCATGACAAGGAAACCTTAGCCATAGTCGTAGCCTTCAAGGCGTGGAGGTGTTACCTAGAGGGAGCCAAGACCACAGTCTACACTGACCACTACAGCCTCAAATACCTGAAGTCGCAGCCGACGCTCTCACGACAACAGGTGCGGTGGGTGGACTTCTTGGAGACCCACTTCCACTACGACATCGTCTACAAACCCGGGCTACACAACAAGGCTGACGCGTTGAGCCGCCCCGGTCACGTAGCAGGCATCCAGCTCGACGGGATGAACCCTCTGCTCAAGGGTCTATTCCAACATGGGTACTCCGTGGACGGCGAGATAGCAACAGCAGAGAAACAGAAACTGTTACAGTGGGAGAAAGACTTAGCAGTAAGGAAGGGTTCAGGAAAGATTTGGGTACCGAACTACGCCCCGCTACGGCAGATCCTATTGGAGGAGTTTCATGACGTACCATACGCGGGACATTTCGGGAGCAACAAGACGTTAGCGGGAATAGCGAAGTATTACTACTGGCCTCGGATGGCAGCAGACGTGCAGCAGTTCGTCACCTCCTGCGACACGTGCCAGCGGATGAAGAGTAGCAAGCAGAAAAAAGCAGGGTTACTTCAGCCTCTACCCGTACTGGAGCAGCCATGGCAGGTCGTTAGTCTCGACTTCATCACAGGACTTCCCTCGACCTCACGGGGACACGATTCCATCCTCGTAGTCATCGATAAGTTCTCCAAAATGGGTCACTTCATACCGACCAACGCCACAGCTACTGCTGAAGCAACTGCTCGACTCTTCTTCGACCGCATCATCACCATCCACGACATCCCCGCTACACTCATCTCAGACAGAGACCCAAAATTCACGAGTAAGTTCTGGAAGGAGCTTATGGGATTGTTGGGGACTAAGCTTGCGATGTCTTCAGCATACCATCCCCAGACTGACGGACAGACGGAGCGACTCAATCAGGTGGTTGAACAGTTACTGTGCACAGCTTGCAAAGACGACATCAGCCACTGGGACACACAGTTACCGACCTTAGAGTTCGCTTACAACAACGCCTCGCATGCGGCCACAGGGAAAACTCCTTTCTTCCTGTGTTACGGACGGGAACCACTCACACCACAGCAGCCAACCACACCAGCACACGTCCAAGCCGCACACGACTTCGTCACCACCATGCAGCAGCTATGGGAGAAGACTCAGCGGCGTCTCACCACGATGCAGAACTCCCAGAAGCAGTATGCCGATCGCCAACGACGAGATCACTCAGTAGCAGTCGGAGATCAGGTGCTTCTTGACACACGCAACTTGAACCTGTCTCACCTACCATCCAAACTCCGGCCTTGCTTCTGTGGTCCTTTTCTCGTGGAGGCGATGGTGACACCAGTTACATTCCGCTTGCGCTTACCAGATACGTGGAAGCTTCACAATGCTTTCCATGTTCAGCTACTGAAGCCCTACAAGGACCCCAACCAACAGTTCCAGGGACGGCAGCTACCGCCACCACCACCTGTTCTTGTGCAGGATGAACCAGAGTACGAGATCGAGCGTGTTCTCACTCATCGGCGCCGCGGCGGCAAGACCCTCGAGTTCCTGATACGCTGGAAGGGATACGACCCCACTGAGGACAGTTGGGTGCCAGAAGCTGATATGGGCAACGCACGCCGTGCTCTCAAAGACTATCTTGTCAAGCAGGGTGTATCTCACGCCACCCAGCTTTGAGGGGGGGACGTGTGAGAGTACGACGGCTTATGCTTGTTATTCATGCTTGCTATTATTTCCTTACGCTATTCCTAGCTTAGGTTTATTTTCTGCATGCATGAATTGCTTGATTTCCTAGGTTCGTTGCTTTACTATAGTTATTATAGTTATAGGCACCGAACCAGGTTACGTGTACCGAACTCAAGCTATTCGGTTGCCACCGAATTGCTTTCTACCGAGTTCGGGAAGGTTCTGTTCGGGACGCTTCGCGACCCTCGGAACATTCGCGTAACACCTGGGTTACCTGCCTTGTGTCGAGCCTATATATAGCCTCGTGTTGTACCCAGGTGATCATTCAATTTACATTCTCATTTCTGAACTCGATCCTCGATCCTCACATAACCCTTCCCTAAGATCAATCGAGTGGACCTCAGACATATAGATATACATATATAGCTATACATGTATATATTTAATTATGACCAGCCCAAATAACTATAGGTCCCTAGGGGCCTCTATCAAGGGGGATACGGGTATGTACACAACTAACTATACAAGGCAATGCTATCAACCTACGGTAGATACGAGCATATTGTTCCACAAATCCACCCGGGTTCGAAAGCTGTGGAGGCTTCGTTTCCCTCAACTCAACCCATCCTCCACCTCCCTCCCACTCCCACCAGTGCTTCCCCTCCCCTCGCCCTCTTCCCTGCCCCGCACCCCTCCTCCCTCGTCCCCGGCTCCCTCCCACCCCCCTCCATCACGGGTGCGGTGGGGGGGAGCGGGCGAGACATGGAGGTGGGACATGAGGCGGTGCAGGTCCACCGCGGTCGTCCAGTACTCGGGGTGCTTGCCACTCCACCGCGCCACCCTCCCGTGCCGCCCCGTGCCGCCCCACACCAGTGCAAGCGGCCGCCACTCGCCGCCCTCACCCGCACTCTCTGCTGCATCACCGCCTGGCGCACTCGCTTCGGCCCTGCTTCCTTCTCCTCTTCCGCCGCGTCCTCCTCCTCCTCTCTCATCATCCAGCCCTGCTCTGTTGACTCCAGCTGCAATATTCGCTTGTGGCACACCTCCCTCTCCCTCCTCCCCATCCCTCCCTAGTTGCCCCTCTGCCCTACTGCTCACCCCACCACCCCGCTCTCGTCCTTCCCTGCTGCCCTCTCCCCCAGCACCACCGCTAGCAGCACACTGCCCCCTGCTTCCGCTCCCCACTGCCCCACCCTGCTCTTCCCCACCTTCCCCATGCCAGCCCCCGTGCGAACCTGCCCCACCTACCGGTTCCATGCTTTGCTCCTGCTTGCCGTGCTGCCACCCGTCCGCCTGTGCCGTATCCAGCCCCCCCTGTTGACCTCCCCCTGTTCCTCCTGCTGCTCCAGCTCCTGCTGCTCCTCCTCCTTCTCTTGTTCCTCCTTCCCCTGCTACTGCTTCTGGGACTGCGCGTCTGCCCCGAACTAACATGCTGTCTCCACTCCCACTAGCTGCACCCTCTCCTGCTCGCCACTCCCCTCCTCGCCCACTCCCCTGCCCTGCCCCTCCTCTCCGCGGCTCCACTGCGCGGTGCAGATACACCGTGCTGCCTGCATCGCCCTCCAGGTCAAAGGGCGCCTGGCGCAGGGGAAGAGGGGGGGACGAAGGAGGGGAAGAGGGGGGAAGAGAGGGGGAGAAAGGGGGGGAGAGGGGGGAAGTGCGGCAAAGGTCAAGAATGGGTGGTGAGAGGAAGGTGCATGGGCCAGCCTAGAGCTAACTCATCGTCTCCCTGCCTGCACTGCCTCATGCACATACACTGTGCTGTCTGCATTGCGTTCCAATTCAAAAGGACGGCTTGCGGAGGGGAGGAGAGGGGAGGGCGGGTTTAGGAGGTGGGGAAGGGGTGGAATATGTGGCGAGAATGGGTGGTTAATGGCAGGAAGTGGTAAAAAGGATCGGAAGAGACGAATGCAGAGGAGAGGAAGAGGTCAGGTGGCAGTTGGACGATGGGGAGGTGGAGAGAGAGGAGGGAAAAGCAGATGGGGCAGGTGGGGAGGGGGAAAAGGTGTGAGCGGTGTGGGGTGTGCGGGGTGTGCGGGGTGTGCGGGGTGTGCGGGGTGTGCGGGGTGTGCAGGGTGTGCGGGGTGTGCAGGGTGTGCGGGGTGTGCGGGGTGTGCGGGGTGTGCGGGGTGTGAGGGGTGAAGCTGAGAGCAGAGGCAACGGCGCGATAGCAGTGGACACAAACCATAGTGATAGTGTGGAGAGGCGGAGAGGGGCGGAGGAAGCACCTGTGTGCAGGAGGGAAGGGAGGAGAGGTCACCTCGGTGGAGCTGCGGATGAGCAGGTCGGAGGCGAAGGCGCGCTTGCTGTCCACATAATACTCCACTGCATACGCCATCACCGTGCCGCTCGTCAGGCCTGAACTGCGCCCCACCTTCGCCACCTGCCGTAGGAGGGCGGGAGAGGGGAAGACGTGGATGGGGAGACAGCGCGTGAGGGGGCGCTTGCAGCTGGCATAATACTCCCAAGGAATATGACATGACCATGGCGCACATGCGGCCAGTGCATGGGTATGCAGTTGACTTGGGAGTCCATGTTATGTGCCATCACCTCACCGTGCCCCACATCAGGCCTGCGCTCCACCCCACCTTTGCCCCGTGCCATGGGTGGGCGGCCCGGAGGGAGGGGCGGAAGAGCAAGCGAGGGGAGATACTTTGCGGAGGAAAACGGGGGCGGGGAAGAGAACGGAAAGAAGAGCGATGGGAATGCAGTGGCCCGATGGCACGTGCGTGCATGCACGCCACATGAGCGATCACTCAACGAAGGAAACTCACAGGGCACACATGGGGAACCCAGAAGAAGCCCAAGCAGGCGAGCAGAGCCCACCTGCTGTGAGGCGAGCAGAGCCCACCTGCTGTGAGGCGAGAGCGGTGCATGACAGCCAACGCTGGAAGGACCTGCTGCGCCAGACTCACCGTGGCCTTTTGAGGCACCTCAGACACCCACGTGCTGAGAGAAATAGGGTGGAAGCGCACCTGCTGCGAGACGAGTGCAGTGACGGGCCACGAGGGGAGGATGTGCAGCAGCGGCCCCACTGCACCGGGCGGCAGTCCCCGTGGGCGTGCTGTGATGTGATGCGCGTGGATGGTGGCGGCGAAGGTGGCGAACGCCCCGTCCACCCTCACCCTGATGTCTGCATGACGGTGTGTGAAGGGAGGAGAGGGCGGAGGGCGGAGTGGACGGGAGAGGCTTACTTAAGACTGAGCTCATGGTCCCCTCGGGGTAAAGGTGGCGAGTGCGCTGTCCATGCGCACATGGATGTTTGCGGAGGGGGGTGAGGTGGAGGGAGGAGGGGCAGAAGGCGGATCGAGGGGAAGGGGGGGATGGGGGGGAGAGAAGAGGTGCCTTGGTTATGAGATGAGCCGTTAGGCCTGCCCTCGTTTGGGTGGCCTAAGCTGGGCCAAGCTGCACTGAGCTGGTTGCCCCTCCCCAGTGTACCAGGTTGGTGGTTCATGTCAAACCCAAACCACTCCAGGTTGCCTCCAAGACATAATCGTAAGTCAACTCAGGAGACACCTCCCCATACTCCCCCCCCCCCCCCCCCCCCCCCCCCTTCCCCCCCCTTCCCCCCCCCTCCCCCTCAGCGCACCTGGCTGGTGGTTGATGTAGAACCCAAACCACTCAAAGTCGCTTCGGAAGGACACCACGCGCCGAACCTCCCCGATAGGCACGCCGGGGCCGAGGCTCGGGCAGTGCGGGTGGTAGAGGCAGGCCCCCTCCGACATCTCAGGGGACGTGCCTGCCACGTGACAGTTTGTGAGGAAGCCGAGCTGATGTGGCGCTGAGCTGTCGACGACAATGGGGCCCATGGTGACAAACGTGTCGTCGCACGCCACCTGGATGGATCGGGGGTACGTGGATGGGGGGAGCGGTGGGGTGAGACAGGGGCAGGGACGTGGTGGGGGTTAAGGGGCAGAGGGCCCCATGGTGAGGAAGGTGTCGTGACACGCTAACTGCAGGCGACAGCAGCAGGCAGATGATCGACAGCGCAGAAAGGGCCCGTGGCAGTGGCAGGGGTGAAAGGGCGCACACGGAGAAAGCAAGAGGGAGGGAGAGACCCAGCTGGGACCCACCTGGGACCCACCTGGGACCCACCTGGGACCCACCTGGACCCACCTGGGACCCACCTGCTGCCCACCGTTCAAAGAAACAACAGACCCACCGGAGAACCGGTTGGGTTCGACGTAAGCCACTTCAAAAATTCCTCCCCACCTGTGAGCCACGTCCCTCCTTGCCTGCTCGCCTTGAAGCCCCCCTCACCTGCCCCCCCTCACCTGCGAGCCGGGCCCCAGCACGGCACTGCAGCCATTAAAGCCCCCCTCACCTGCGAGCCGGGCCCCAGCACGGTGTCGTGATGCAGGTCCAGCCGAACCTTCCTCATTGCAGCCTTCTATCCTCTTTCTCTCCTCTTCCCTCCTTCCCCTTCCTTTACTGTCCCTTCCCCCCAGCAGGTGATCCATTCCGCCCCTTGTTCCTCCTGACATATGTAATGAGCTTACTCTCCTCCCCTCCACGTGTACCAGGCGACCCACGCAAGGGCTCAGTCAGATTGCTCCTGCTTCTCCCTACTGCTAGCTTCCTTTGGCTTAGGAAAACAAGATTACAGTAAGAAGAGAAACATACAAGCAAAAAGCGAGAAGCCAGAGTGCTACCCCGGCTACATTCCCTCCTCCTCCTGCCTAGGAGCCTTCCTTCCCTCGCTAGCTCTAGTGCCAAACGCGAGTCAGCTGAGCTGCTCGCGATGGTTCCAAGGTGCTAGCTGGGCCCCACTGGCCCACTAGGCATGCACTGCCTTCCAGCTGGAATCGAGTTCCTAGCCTGGAATCGCATTCCCAGCTGGAATTGCATTCCCAACCTGGAATCGAATTCCCAGCTGTAATCGAATTCCCCAGCTGGAATCGAATTCCTCCTTCCACACCAACCTCCCTGTAGTCCCCTGCACTCGGCTCTGTAGCGTATATACAGTACATACCACGCACACAAAAAGAAATTAGAGTACATAACCAGAAATGCACCCTTACCTGGCTGCTGTGTAATTCACACCTTAGCCACCGGCTAGGTGTTAATAACGCGACAGCTGTCGTGATGCAGGTCCAGCCGAACCTTCCTCATTGCAGCCTTCTATCCTCTTTCTCTCCTCTTCCCTCCTTCCCCTTCCTTTACTGTCCCTTCCCCCCAGCAGGTGATCCATTCCGCCCCTTGTTCCTCCTGACATATGTAATGAGCTTACTCTCCTCCCCTCCACGTGTACCAGGCGACCCTGCCCCCTCCCGTGCCTGAGCAGCAGCTCCTGCAGCTCGGGTCACGGGATTCTTAGCCTGAATCTGCACTCCCTTTGCTCTAGCCACATTCGTCGCATGCTCCTTGATATTCCTTCCGCGCTGGTCCTCCAGCACCAACACTCCCGACCCCCGTACTTCCTTCACCTTCCACCGTTCGGGACCCACAGCTAAGTCCAGCGTGTCCTTCTTCGCCTTCCTCTGGTATACCTCTTGCCCCGCTGCTATAGCCTCTCTCTGCTTTCCGTTACCCTCTTCCTTACGCTGCTGATATCGACGGGCATCCCTCAGCTGAGCCACGTGCAAATTATCCAAGGCTGCAGGTGTCAGCTCCCTCAGATACCGAGCCCTTTTCTGTGCTACTTCGGCCCATAAACCTGGCTCATCTGCCTCCACGGCCACTGACAACAGCTTCGGCGCATCCACGGGTAAAACTGGGTCTCGACCGTATAGCAGATGGTAGGGTGATAGATCCTTTAGGGCAGACTGCTTAGCAAACCTGTACCCCGCCAGGATCCAGGGGAGCTCCTTATCCCAGTTCCTCTTGTTATTCTCCCCGTATGCCCTCAGTCCCTTCTTCAGGGTTTGTACCCTTCGTTCAGTCAACCCATCCGACTGCGGGTGATACCTGGAAGTCACCCGATGGGTGATTCGTTGCTCTTTCAGCATCTCCTCAAAGTTACCTTGGAATTCGGTTCCCTGATCCGTCAGCACCTCCCCGCAAGCTCCGTACCTGGTGAGCACCTCTTGCACGAAGGCCTCCGCAATCAAGCTGCTATTCTTGCTGGGCAAAGCCCTGGCTTCCACCCACTTGCTGGTATGCTCCATCATTACCAGGATGTACTGCTTACCCTTGGTGGACAGAGGTAATTCTCCTGCCAAGTCCAATGACCAACGGTACCCCAAACCTCGGATCGGTAGGGACTGCAGCTCGTCTCTTTCCCTCTCCAAAGCAGCCTTGTTTCGCTGGCAGGCTTCGCAAGATACCACCATTGCAGCCACGTCTTTCCTCATGCCCGACCACCAGTACATCGTGCACAGCAGCTGCCGAGTCCTAGCCATTCCGTAATGCCCTAGTTTCCCATGTACCTTCAACATGATTCTCTCCCTGTCTTGCGGCTGTGGTACGACTCGCCATCCTTCCGTGGTGCGCAGTTGTAGCTGATCCTGAAACCATCGGTAATGCTGCCCCCTAGCCCTGGCTCGTTCACTCACTCCTGAGTCGTCTACCGGCTCCCCTTTGATCCACCCCATAGTCTCCCGATCCTCCCACACATCCACCTGCCGCTGCTCTCCCTTCTCTTGCCCCCAGGTCGCTTCAGCCACCTGCGCTAACGCTATCAGCTGTGCAACTGGCTGCAGTGGAGGCGGGTTCCTAGATAACCCATCCGCGTGTTGCAGTGTCTTGCCCGGTCGGTGACGGATGTCGAAGTCGAATCCCAGCAGTTTGATTGCCCACCTGGCGTTCCTGCCCGTCAGTTCTTGGTTCTTCATCAACCATAGCAAGGGCTGATGGTCGGTCACTAGCGTGAAGTGTCGGCCTTGCAGGTACACCTTGAAGTGGGTGATTCCCCACACGGCGGTCAGTCCTTCCCCTTCGTATGAGCTGTAATTAGCTTCAGTAGGGCTGCAGCTACGACTGGCAAATGCTACGACTCTCTCCTCTCCGCCTATCTCCTGACAGAGCACTGCCCCCATCCCCATACTGCTCCAGTCGGTGTACAGGACGAATGGTGCATCCGCCCGCGGTATCTGCAGCAGGGTACCCGTCTTCACTGCTTCTAGCAGATCTTGCCTGGCTGCTTCTTCAGTCTCTCCCCACTGCCAACTCTTCCCCTCCCTGAGCGGCTGGTTCAAGGCGTGTGCTCGGCGGCTGAAATTCGGCACGAACTTCCTGTAATAGTTCAGGAAGCCAAGGAGCGCCCGTAGCCCAGATTTATCCTTCGGTGCAGCCAAATCCTCCAGCACCTTGACTTTAGCTTCCTGTATCGCCAGTCGGCCCCCCCTCACCTCAAACCCCAGGTACGCCACTGTGCGGCGGGCTATCTTGCACTTGTCCGGGTGGCACGTAAGTCCTGCAGCTGCTATCGCCTCCAAAGTTTGCTTCAAGTCCTGCACGTGCTGTTCGTCGCTTTCACTAAAGATGAGCACGTTGTCAATGTAGCAGGCTGCTGCTGGGATTCCCTTCAGTACCTGATCCATAGCCCGTTGAAACACGGCTGGAGCATTGCGCACCCCAAACGGCATCACGTTGTATTCGTACAGCCCGTCCACTCCGTGGAAAGCTGTTTTCCGCTTGTCCCCCTCTTTGATAGCGATTTGGTTGAACCCCTGCCTTAAGTCCAGCGTGGAGAAGATCGTTGCTCCTTCTAGTTTATCGAAAATCTCCTCCGCTGTCGGCATGGGATATCGGTCCGGTTGGGTGATCTTGTTCAGGTCCCTAAAATCCCCGCACATCCGCTTCGCTAACACTTTCCCCGTGATGTCTTTTCTAGTGGCTACTACTGTGGCCGCGGCATAACTCGACTCCGACGGGCGTATTATCCCTGCTGCCAGCAGCTCTTCGCATTTTTCCTTGCAGATAGCCGCATCTTCAGCATTCATCCGCCTCCTGCGCTGATAAGTGGGCAGCTCTGTGGTTAAGTTTAACTCCAGCTCTCCCCCTTTGTACCTTCCTAGCTCCTGTAAGTTGTATGCGAAAGTGCCTCTGTGCTGCTGCAGTACCTGCCTGATAGCTTCCGCTGCCTCCTTCTTTATATTGGCTCCTAACTCCCATCCCTTGCCTGCTTCCGTGTCCTTGACTCCTGCCTGCGCCTCTGCATGTGTCCCTTTTGTAGCCACCTTCTCTACTGCTGCGTATGCTGCTTGTTTATAGCACTGACCCCCTCCTCTCTCCTGTTTCCTTCCCTGCTGCCCTGGACCCTTCCTCATTTCAGTCACCAGCCATCTCAGCGAATGCTGATCGATAGCCCTGCCCAAGGCTGCTCGACGAGCCTCTTCCCCCACTCCCTCCGCTGCAGTGGCTCCCGGAAAGTACCCCATGGCCAACTCGCGTTCCAAGGCAGTCGGCTCTTCCCACTTCCCTTTCCGGTAATCGTACACCATCCTTGGGCCGGGATTGCCGTCTTGCTCAATAAAGCCTCGAGCTTTCGCGTAAGCCACTAACGTCGGCCAAGCTCTTCTCGCTTCCCCTACCCGGTTGCACTGGTACTGTAGGGGGTGATCCGGTTTGACCACTGGAGCGGCTACCCTCCCTGGCTCGAGGATATCTTCCACAATCCTTGTCCCGTCTCTCTCTATTCCGGCCAACCGAGCCCGCAACTCCCCCTCCGGCAGGCCATTCTGCCAGAAGCGCCTAACCCGATGGGTTAGTGCCCCCAGCTGCGCCCCGTCACACCTAACCCCCTTTCCCAATTCCGCTTCCACCAGCTCGCGTGCTACTCGGACTGGTTCCCTGGCGTCACCACTCATGTCCACGTGCTCTAAAATGTAAGCGTACTCTCCTCCTGCCTCTTTTATCCATCTCATGATTTCCAGTAGCGTTGTCACTAGCCCCGTGCGTTCATCTTGCAATTTCTTTCCCTTCCCGGCCCTCGAGGTGCCCTGACACTCCCAGCCAGCTACTAGCAGATCCACCTTGCCCCACTCCCTTACGTCCTCCTTGGTAATCTGCTTCACATCCCATTTCTTGCTTTGCATAGCCTCCTTCACCACAGCCTTCCCCAGCTGAGCGGGGTATCGTTGCTGTAGTACCCGTGCGTGGTTCCAGGCCATCCTCCGAACTTCAGGATTTACCTCCACATAGATCCACTTCTTCACCCTCAGGCCAGCCTCTAGCGCTACCGCTAAACCGGCTCCCAGCCCCCCGAACAGCTCCACCAGGGTAAAACCATCTTGGTCTAAGCTTTCCCCCGCCCGAATATCCCTGATCTTCCCAACGCTTTTACTTCCTCCTTGCCCCATGCTTCCCGCTCTCCAAGCTTTCTTGGGTTCAGTCTTGATGAAACGCACCGGCAATTCACTCAGCTCCTTCCCCTCCTCCCAGAAATCCGAGCGGTATAGCACATGTTCCTGCCAGGTGCATATAGTGGTCCCTATCTTGTATAGCAGCTCCATTCCTAGTAACATATCGTAATCGTCTGACTCTGTCAGTCCGCACTGCACCCTTATCGTTGTTTCTCCCTCCCCTCCCGGCTGCAGCGTGATCTCGATTAGATCCTTCGTACAGGGCATCCACTTAGGAGCCCCACCTTCAACAGTCATGATCAGTATCCCCCGCCTTACGGTTTCCCATCCTCCTTGCGCCTTTAACTGCTCGGTCAGCTTCCTTCCCAGTAACACACTCTGCGCGCCAATATCCACCACGGCATTTTCTACTAGTATCCCTCGTACCGCTACGGCCTTCGGATCCACCACCAGAGCCGTAGGCTGGCAGACCAGTCGCTCTTCTGGGTGCCGCCGCGCTGTCGATGACTTGCTAGTCCCCTCGGCCGCTTTAGTAGTCCTCCTCCCCGGCTGCTTCTGCTCTGTTCGGCCGTCTTTCCCTCCACTCCTCAACCCCAAACTTTCTCGGTCTCTAGGTGATATGGCCATAGCTCCATACTCCGCTTCTTCCTCCTCGTATTCTTCCTCTTCCTCGTCTTCCCAAGCTAGTAACGCTTTCTCTGGGTCTTCGCTAATCTCCGCCTTGCCCATCTGAGCTTTCAGCTTTGCTATCTCTCGTTCCAGCTGCTGCTCTCTAGCGGACTTTTCTCCCGCCTTCTCCTTCTTGCTGTAGCACCTCTCTTCCGTATGACCCCTCTTCTTACAGAAGGTGCAGCTCGGCGCCTTGGGGCAATTCCGCCTGAAATGCCCCTTCTCCCTGCAGATGTCGCATATAATGTCAATGGCGCAGTCCTTTCGCAGATGCCCTGGTTCCCCACACTTGTGACACCGTCGCTTGTCTTCAAAAGGTTTTTCCCTTCGTTCTTCTTCCACCCGCTTTCCTTCCACCGCAGCCCACGCCGGCCTCCTGTGTTCGCCTGATCTTCCTGCGCTCGCCCCGCGCAGTCCATCAAAGAACCTTCTTCCCTCCTCTACCTCCCTCGCCACCTGATACACTTGTCGCAACTTCGCCTTCATCCCCAGCGCGTATAGTCGACTCCGCATGTCTTGCATCAGGTCCTCCTCCAATCCGCCCACAAACTTCGACACTAGGGTCCGTTCTTCCAGGCAGCCCATGTCTTCTGCCAGCTCCAGCAACCGATTGTAGTAGGCTAGCAGAGATTCCCCCTTGCTCTCTTAAAGTCCTGAAACTCTGTCATCCGATCTGCCGAATGCCCCGGGAATTGTTCTCGCAGGCTTTCTAGGAATCTGTCGGTGATTTCCGCCGCAGCGAAGTCCCCTCGTTTACTCTGCAGCAACAACCCCTGTCTCTCCACCCGGTAATGTGTCAGCGCTTCTCCCTTGAGGGTTCTCCCCAATCCTCTGAAAAATTCAATGGGATCTAACCCCTCTCTCTCCCAACAGTATCGGATGTCATCTACCATCATAAGGTAATTCTTCAGCGTGGGCTCCTCCCCAGGCGCCCCTGAGAATCGATCCGGCACCTCAATCTTAGGTGGTGCCGCACCCATCATTCTGCCTGATCCCCAGCTCGCCGTTCCCCTCTCACCGATCCCCACAGGCGGATCTCCTCTTCCAGCCCCCATGGATTCGTATCTTCCAGCGGAGAACCCGTGTACCGCCTCTCCCTCTCGCTGACTCTGCTGATCTTCTTGATGGTCTCCCCTTCTCGGCTCTGGAGTTCCGCGTTGAGATCCCCCAACTCCAGCTGCCCCGGGTCCCATCTCTGGCGCTGGCGAATTACAGTTCGAGCTCAGTGGCGGCTCTCCCCGTCTGTCGCCTTCTTTTCCTTGATCTGCGCTGCTAGTACCACTCGCCGTCGTAGTTCCTTCTCCTGCTCGAAACCCAGGTGTCTTAATCGGCAAATCTTGTCCCTCCATCCTCCGCGCAGGAAATCTATGCCCTGAACGCAGTTGATGAGTATGCAGCTCTTGATCAAGGCCGCTCATCCCCTACGGTGCATCACCGCAGGCCCTCCAGGCGTTGTGCCTATTTTGCTGAGATTTCAACACTACACTCTTTTTGCTTGTATGAACATATCTTAACTCCCTCGCAAGGGCTCAGTCAGATTGCTCCTGCTTCTCCCTACTGCTAGCTTCCTTTGGCTTAGGAAAACAAGATTACAGTAAGAAGAGAAACATACAAGCAAAAAGCGAGAAGCCAGAGTGCTACCCCGGCTACATTCCCTCCTCCTCCTGCCTAGGAGCCTTCCTTCCCTCGCTAGCTCTAGTGCCAAACGCGAGTCAGCTGAGCTGCTCGCGATGGTTCCAAGGTGCTAGCTGGGCCCCACTGGCCCACTAGGCATGCACTGCCTTCCAGCTGGAATCGAGTTCCTAGCCTGGAATCGCATTCCCAGCTGGAATTGCATTCCCAACCTGGAATCGAATTCCCAGCTGTAATCGAATTCCCCAGCTGGAATCGAATTCCTCCTTCCACACCAACCTCCCTGTAGTCCCCTGCACTCGGCTCTGTAGCGTATATACAGTACATACCACGCACACAAAAAGAAATTAGAGTACATAACCAGAAATGCACCCTTACCTGGCTGCTGTGTAATTCACACCTTAGCCACCGGCTAGGTGTTAATAACGCGACAACGGCACTGCAGCCCTTAAAGCCCCCCTCACCTGCGAGCCGGGCCCCAGCACGGCACTGCAGCCCTTAAAGCCCCCCTCACCTGCGAGCCGGGCCCCAGCACGGCACTACAGCCCTTAAAGCCCCCCTCACCTGCGAGCTGGGCCCCAGCACGGCACTGCAGCCCTTAAAGCCCCCCTCACCTGCGAGCCGGGCCCCAGCACGGCACTGCAGCCATTAAAGCCCCCCTCACCTGCGAGCCGGGCCCCAGCACGGCACTGCAGCCCTTAAAGCCCCCCTCACCTGCGAGCCGGGCCCCAGCACGGCACTGCAGCCCTTAAAGCCCCCCTCACCTGCGAGCCGGGCCCCAGCACGGCACTGCAGCCCTTAAAGCCCCCCTCACCTGCGAGCCGGGCCCCAGCACGGCACTGCAGCCCTTAAAGCCCCCCTCACCTGCGAGCCGGGCCCCAGCACGGCACTGCAGCCCTTAAAGCCCCCCTCACCTGCGAGCCGGGCCCCAGCACGGCACTGCAGCCCTTAAAGCCCCCCTCACCTGCGAGCCGGGCCCCAGCACGGCACTGCAGCCCTTAAAGCCCCCCTCACCTGCGAGCCGAGCCCCAGCACGGCACTGCAGCCATTAAAGCCCCCCTCACCTGCGAGCCGGGCCCCAGCACGGCACTGCAGCCCTTAAAGCCCCCCTCACCTGCGAGCCGGGCCCCAGCACGGCACTGCAGCCGCGCAGGTCGTCCACGAGCTCGCTGCTCTCCTCCTCCGCCCTCGCCCTGTCGCGCCCAGGCTGCTGTGAGTGCAGTAAGGGGGACGCACGGAGAGAGTGGAAGGGGAAAATGACTCAGTGGCGAGGAAATGAGTGCTGGCATGCTGTGCCCTGTCCCGCGCTGGCTGCTGTGGCGCAAGGGGGACATATCACGCGGGGAAGCGGGGAGGGGCGGGGGTTGGGGGGAGCGGAGGGGGAACGAATCAGGAAGTGGCTGCAGATTTTCTTGGTGTGCCACGGCGCGTGCTGTGCGTTGGGCATGCGGGCAGCATGGCAGCATGGCATCGCAGTGGCGGCGCGGCAGGGCAGGGCAGTGCAGCGGCAGCATACCAGGCGGCCGGGCAGGCAGGCGAACTCGAGCACGTCGAGGTCGCACCACAGCGACCCCTCGCCCTCCAGGCGCGCTGGTAGCAAGCGATCCGGTGGTAACCAGTTGGGATGCACCTGACGGAGAGGGGGTGGGGGAGCGGGGGAGGGGGGGAAGGGGGAGGGGGGAGAGGGGGGAGAGGCGGAAGAGGGGGGAGAGGGACGGGAAGAGCAGGAAGAGGGAAGGGAAGGGGAAGGGAGAGGTAGGTTAGGGGAGCGTAAGGCGGTTGAAGGGGGGGAGAGGGGAAGGAACGAGAGGGAGGGCACTGCGGGCAGGAGGATGCAGAGACACGAGCGATGAAGACACAGGGCAGAACGCGAGTAGGGGGGAGGAGGGGGGAAATAGAGGAAGAGGGAGGAAAAGCAGGGAGGAAGACGGAGGGAGGAGCGAAGAGGAGGGAGGAGGAAGGAAAGAGGAGGGGGAACTTTCCATGTCAACCTGTCCATGTCAGTATAGGTTGGGGAAATGTAACACCATTTATGACAGACTTTAATAATGGCATGGCAATTAATACCGATTTCTGTGCCTCCAATAAGCAGGCGTTTATTGCACGCCTATAACAATCTATAAAATGTGGGCCTGTTACTAGACATTCGCATGCCATATACAGCCATGAACAAGCATTGTGGTGTACCTGAATATTGGCGTAAACAGCCATTCCGCGCGATACACAGGCGGGGAATTTACGGACCCTAAATGCCTACGAACCTGCCTGTGTACAGCCCGCCAGTTTCGGGCCATTAACCTGCCATACAGAGGGCGATTATGGCTTGAAATTGCCATTCTTAAGGTCGACTTTTTTGAGATGAAAAGGGGAGGGGGGAGGAAACGGGAAGACGATGCGGAAAAATAGTGGACGGAGGAAAAGGGGGGATGAGGGAGGAGGGAGGAGGGAGGAGGGAGGACAGAGGGGAGGAGTCGGGGAGAGGTGGGGGCGGGAGAGAGGGGGGAGGGGGGAGGAGGGGGGAGTAGGTATGAGGAAAGAGCAGGAAGGAGAAAGATGGGGGATGTGGGAGGAAAGGGAGGGAAGTGCGAGGAGGCTGGGAGAGGAGGAGGGGTGAGGAGGAGGGAGGAGGGAGGAAGGGGAAGGGGGGAGGAGGAGGAGTAGGAGTAGGAGGAGGAGGAGGAGGAGGAGGAGGAGGAGGAGGAGGAGGAGGAGGAGGAGGAGGAGGAGGAGGAGTAGGAGGAGGAAGAGGCGTGGGCACCTTGGAGAAGACGAAGGCGAGGATGGCGGGGCGGTCGGTGTACTGCCCGTTGCGGATGCGCACGCCCACCGCCGTCGCGAGCGTCCTCTCCCGCAGCCACTCGGAGCGGTTTGCGCGGATGTCCAACAGCTCCTGCGCGCCGCACGCGGAGGAGTGAGGGACATGACGAGCAGCGGCGGTCAAAGACGGGAGGGAGCGCGCAGGGAGCGGTGGGTCGCCATTGCGAGGCGAAGGTAGTCATTTCACAGTGAGCGGTACTGAGACAGGGCACTAGACAGAGTACCACTAAGGTAAGAAGCCGCATCACTGGATCATGGTGTCTCTGCACCAAGAGACGCAGGGCTGCTACACCGTTTCTGAGTCGAGTCTGGTCCGTGAAATTCTAGTTTGCGATACAACAGACCAGGGTGTGCAGAAAAAGAAAATATGGAGGTTTGCGGAAAGTCCAAGCAAGACGGAATTTAGGTGAGCAGGTTTCACCTACATCAGGGAATTACTAATCAGAGGTGCTCTGGTAGCACTGGCAGAATTAGTGGTACCTGGATAGTTGTTGCTTGTCCACGCGTGAGAGTAAGCTCTCTGCGAGAGAAATACGCTTGCCTGCCCTCTTCCGAACCTGGAAACCAGAAAGGCCACGACATAAAGAATTTCCAAAAAGCCACCAGCAACCGCCGCCATGCCCGAATTTCTTAAGGACTACCCAATCTAGGCCCGCGGAAACCGGTAAAGCCATTCGTCAATGGACAGACCTGGGTGACTTCTGCCGCCCATCGCGGGCTTGCTCGAAGGTTCTCCAGCAGGAGCCATGATTCTTCGGCGCGTAGAACTACAGGTTTTAGCAGCGAGGAGAATCCCGAGGCTTGGCAGTTTCAAGCAGCTAGTTACTAACTGGGTTCCTCGAAGAAAGTTACAGCTTCACAGAGTCATCAACAGCACGGCACCGCCTCGTTATCGGCGTCACGCCGTCCCTTTTCGTTTCTCCGCTCACAGCCAAGTGAGATTCTCTTCGTCTCCCTTTTACAGCGAAACCCCAGCCTCCGAGAGCATGCATGCGGCTTTGCCCTCTCGCATGCCATTATGTTCACTAATGACGCATTCATGCCGTCCATTCGTACGTTGGACCTTTGGGATGCCTCAAAAGTCAAGTGCGTGGTGCGCTGCTTTGCTCCAACCGCGTCGTCCTCAAGAGGATGCATGGAAGGGGAAGAGTCGTTCATTTCTGAAATGCGGAGACCATTCGGCTTCCTCTTGTTTGAGGCGTGGGGTACCAAGGTGGAGGGTGCATTGTGCAAGCTAGCCACCCACATTCACGTCAGTCTAGACTCGAATAGGGCAGGATGCAGGAACGCCAGTGCAAAATAACTTACTGAAACCAGGGCAGCAAATTTTGAAAACATGGAAAGAGTTAGATGGACGTTTCGTACCACCTGGCGGCACAGTCGATGCTCAGCCTATCACAAAAATTTGCTTATCACAATTAGAAAATCAATCACTCGCGACCAGAAAACCTAAGCGGCACTATGAAACGACCGGCACTTGGCTAATCACCTGTACTTCTTGAGCACAAAAGTTGTTCAAATGTGGGATTAAAAAAAAAAAAAACCAATCACTCGCGAACGTTTTGCCTGTGAGTGGTGATTGTGCTGATTTCAGGGTACAGTCACCAAGTCGAGGAAGAAAAACATCTACAGTTCATAAACAACAACGGCTGCCTGTCATCAGAATTGTTTACCTGGTTACGAACTTAAACCCCCAGTCTCGTTTCACATTCCAATTTCATTTTACAATCACATTTTTGCCCGTGGCGACAAGGGCGAATGTGGCGAACTTTCCAAAACTCGTTTCACTCACATGCCGCCCGCCTACCTGGTGTTCTTGACGAGAAAACAACATGGTGTTTTTTCCTGGTGTTCCAGAGCTCGTTGACGGGCTGGTGAATCAGAGGACAACCTTCCTCGAAAACCACCCGCGGTTTCAGAGGACGGGCTGCTCCAATGCGACGATCACTTCGTCGAATTCACCACGTCGTCGCAGAGAATGCCTACGCCCAAGCGAGGGCGGGGCCTTTCACTCCGACATTTCAGTCCTATTGTGAAGTCAGACCTCCAGCCTGTCACATGCTCTCGTGCACAACTCTTGTCACGTTCCATTCCAACCCAAGCCAAGTCCCAGCTTTTGCCAGCCCCACGCCACCAAAACAGTCAGCCTTGACGAAATCTGTTTGTTCGCAAGCGAGCAAGCAAGGGTTTGAAAGATCCAGTCAGCATAATAGAGCTCAGCGGACGAAAAATGCCGCCCATTTTCGCGGGCCAGAACGGACAACCCCCCTCCTCGGGGTTGTCGACCCCACGACGACCACCGCGTGGAAAGCCCAGGCGAGCTGGCTGGGCCCAGTGCTGGTGACCCCTCGGGATTGTCGACGACCTGTCGACCTTGGGTTCCGCTGAGACAATCCCGAGAAGGACGTCTCAGCCGAGTGACGTCATACCAGCTCGGCACGTCGTGCCGCGATGATCGCCACGCGGACACACAAGGACGTCCGAGATCGACCCCTGGATGGCGGGGCCATCGAGGTCTGCCAGGGTGGCCACGACGGGCCAACGGCAGGTCGAGGTGCTTTGCGAGAGAAAATTTCGCGCGCAGGCGTGGCCACGTCGGTGCGTACCACACGGCCATCATCCAACGGTTGCCCACATGCCCAAGGCGAAATCCGACCGTCCCTAACCTCCGGCTAGGTGCAGTGGATGCTGATGGTGTTGGGAATGTCGGCGTCGACCAGAAGGTCTTCATCGTGGTGCCACGCGGCAGTGTCTCCCGCCCTCGAACTACAGCGCTGCACACAGCCTGGGACCACGCCACGTACCGCACAAAAGAGCCAGCGTGTGACACCCATGAAAGGCGCATCATGAGCGAAGCGCTTCAAGCAAGCAGCCATGCACGCCCGGTGGCACGTCGGTCACGGCGCCGCCGCACGAGCGTACATGCATAGCTGCGTCCTGCACAGGGGTTTGCGTGGAGCGCCAAGTGGAGCGGAGTCGCTCACGACCATAGCAGTCTGTGGCCCCAGTGAAGGTCGCTCATTCTGTCCTGCCATTCTGTGTGCGTTTCATCCGATAGCTGGCACTTAGACATTTTCCCCCGTTCCCTTGACGGCTCGCCCTTTGTTTTTCCGGACGCGGTACGTCGGCGTCGTCTGATTAGTCAGTCGTGGTGGACGACGTTTCGTAGTGTTGTCTGCGATGCCGACCTGTCCGATAACGCCGACATAGAATCTGCACGTTGTAGTTCATCGACCTCTCCAAGCCGACTTCCCATCGCTAGGTCGCCGTATCATGGCAGGAGGACAGCCTCGCTCGACACCGCCGCAATCCAACCCACCACCCGCCGACGTCGACATGACGGACGTTCCTAACCCTGCTAACCACGGTGGTTATGTCCGCCTGGTAGACCGTACACCGACCAGTAACCCCTCGTCGACGCTGCCCCTGCTTTACGATCTCGACGCGCTGGCACAAATCCCGAAGGGAGAGTTCACCGAGGGCATTCCACCCGCGCCCATAGGGGAGTTCACGAAAGCACGCAAAGAAACGTCGGCACCGACGAATGCAGGGGGGGCCGGGCCGTCGTCGGTGCCGGACGGATCGGGAGACCAGGAGGAGAGAATTGAAGATTATTCCTCGTCGAGCGACGAGGACGACGTGGCTCTGGTCCGCGCACGTTGGAAGAAAAGCTCAGGGGGGAACGTGCGCTGATTGAGGAACTTCTGGACGAGGACGAGCTCGAGGATCTGATGAACACGTCGGTCCCTCGAGAACAGTGGAAGGCGGCCGACTTCGTAGAGGAAGATATGGTGTACGCGTGCGTCGACGTGCTCGTGATGGAGGCATTGCGCCACCTGAAAACCATAGAGGGTAAGAGCACGCTCCAGTCCTACACGTCATGGATCTACGACTACAAGAGATGGGCGACGAAGATGCTCAAAGAGATAGGCGACAAGCTGCCGATCGGGGAACGAACTAGGCACGTCGACGAGATCGGGCACTGGATCCACTGCAACAAGAGCAAGGATTGGGACAACCCGAAGGTGGTCAAACGGAAGCACATCTGGCTGCACGGCCCCCGGGTCACTGTGACGCGGCTGCGCGCCTACATCAAGTTCATGAGGCGGGAGTACAAGATCGACGCCGAGACGAATGCGCTAGTGCAAGCGTCCTACACGGTGCACATGATCCTCGGCCGCATCAAGGCATGCCAGATGGCGGCGAGGGTGGAAGCGACGCTGTACAAGGAGAAGGAGTTGGGCATCATGCGGGAAATCTCGGTTGTCCGGTCGGAGGTGCGGGTCATGGTCCGCACCAAAAACCAGAGGGACATCAAGTAAGTTGGCATACAGCGCCGTGTTATGTCGGCATCGAATTGTGCCCCTCGCCCTAATTAACATACCTCTATATTGTTCTGTCGACAGTAATTGCGCCGACCGTCGACGCGGCACCATCGGCGACACATACACCGCCGAACAGTTCCGCCAGATCATGACGAGGGTGCTGCCGGCTTGGGCGGCGTCGGCATGGAGCCCGCATTTCACCACTCCTTCGCAGACGCTGTGGAGGTTTCTTCTCGTCAAGGTGCTCACGCTGCTCTCCCACCACAGCCTCATGCGCGGTGCAAGCATCCGCGAGATCACGCTCCCCGACATCTTCTTGTACCGACTGGCGAGCACCTCGTCGGTGAACCCGGATAACCAGCCGGTCGTCATGGTGGTCGCCGCGCGGAACTCGAAGACGTCGAAGGATGCGCGTCTTCAGCAGAGCTACGCGGCGCGGCACCTCGAAGCGGAATTGTGCGCCGTCGGCGAGACCGGACTGTGGCTACACTTCATCCTCGACCAGATCGGCCAGTTTCACGGCGTCGACCTCATTCCGCCGGTCGACACCAGCACACGCGAGCGCTGGTACAAGAAGCACCTGTTCTTCGCCAAAAACGACACCGACCAGGGGGAGCTCTCAGCTGCCAGCCACCAGCGATGGACGAGGCAGATGTGGAAGACGAACGGGGTGTTCTGCAAGCGGAACGTCCATGCCGCTCGGGCAGGCGGGGCGCAGGAGCTGGCCATCAACGGTACGCCTCGCGCCGAGATAGCCGAGCTGGGTCACTGGGCTCTCGACAAGATGACTCGAGCCTACATCACAGCCATTCCCGTCGGCGTGGTGATGAAGAAGGCCGGCTATTCGGGTTTCACGCAGGACTACTTCTTGGGACGCAGCAGGGTGGAACCGTCGGACGAACTTCTCGATCTCATCGCCGAGCACATCTTCCCCGGCGTGGACGAGCTCCTCAAGAATGTATGTTTATCGGTACCGACCAAGCCTCGCATGGCACTGTCCTTTCCACCACGGTTATTACCCACGTCCGTTGTCTAATTGCAGGCGGAAAACCTCGCGAAGAAGGGGTCCGACGCCGACGTTGCTGCCGTGCATTTCTGGCGCACCCTCCTGATGTTCCGCCGCATTGTCGCCGAGGACCTCGCTGTGAAACTCGTCCGCACGCCTTGGCACCCGTACGTCCAGTATTCCAAGCTCTGCCGGATTCCTCTCTTCCAGCACTGGGCGCAGAGGGTCGAGAAGGCCGACACCAACACCATCAAAAAGCGGCAAGACCCAACCCTCATCCAGCCAGAGGTGAGTCATCCTTTATGTCGACGTCGGCATGTGCGCAGTGACAGCTACAATCCCTCTCATGCACCGTTATTCGCCTACCATTGCAGGAAATATCGGTCCGTCATGATGCCCAGTACGCGGTCGTCTCCCTCACAGCGATGCTGAAGCTCGAGAAGGAGCGTTCAGCGGTCGAGAAGATCGACCTCCAGGAGAAGCTCCAGCAGCGCGACGCAACCATCGCGTCGCTCACGGCCGAGATAACCCGCCTCACCGAGGCTCTCCGCGTTTCAGAAGCTCGTAGGATGCCGGAGGCGCCGCCAGCTGCGAACGATCAGTCGCCAAGCGACGGTGGCTCCGCGGAGTCGGCAAGCAGGGGTGACGGAGCCAAGAAACCCAAAAAACCCCCACAGACGGTCGAGGAGGCTAGCTACGAGCTGAACGTGGTTCAGCCTTGGCGGAATGCAACGACCGTGAGGGACGCGTGGCGCCTCTGGACCTCGTGCACCAGCGCCGACACCCGTCGTCTGTGCGACAGGTTCTTCGAGCCGGGATTCGTCGACCGCCACACCCTCCTCGACGGAGCCTCGCAGGGAGCACACGGGACGAGGGTGCGCCGCATGATGAAGGTAATCGATGCCGTGCGCCAGCTTCGCGAGAGAGACGGCGAAGCCGACACCGAAGCCGTCGTCGACGCGCTTAACACGATAGCGGCGCCTGGCATTGGGACCTTCTCGGATGCCCTCACGGTGCTCAACGCGGGCAACAAACCGACCTATGCCGGGCAGGGTAAGGGCGTCAAGGGGCTCGGCAAGACGGAATTTGCCAAGCTTCGTCTCGCCAGTGCGCTCGTGGCGCGCGGGTTCAAGCCGGAGAAGTTTGTCGCCGACCTGTTCCCGGACACATGGGAGGAGGGGATGAAGAAGGCGTTGGCCGACCTGGCCCGCGAAAACGACGCCGGGAAGCTGCCTCCGACCAAGAAGTCGACCAAGCGCAAGAAGACCGCGTGAATGCTCACAAGCAACATGCGATTGTGGGCTGTTGCATGTTGTAGATGATGTTGTTACAGCATGCATGTGTTTCGTACTTATACAGTTGTCGACTTTGAGTTTCTCACAATGCTCATGTGGTAGTTCTAACATAGTTAGTCACGTGTCGGCCTGGTATCCTTCGTGATGTGACAAGATACTGGTTCAAATGTTCATTACACATCCTACATAAAGTCGACATGCACTCACACAAGGAAACGCAAAAAACCAGCATCAAAGGGGTCCGACAGCCGAAACACACAAAACGAGATCGACCATAGCAGCATCAAATCCAAGCAACAATGAATCCAAGCTAGCAGTAGGCATAGCGCTACATATGCCCCTCCCCGACTACGCCGACTCCTTCGCCTTCTGGCCCTTCGTCCCCTTCTTCTCCGTGCCGCCCTTGGCCTTCGTCGCCTTCTTGCCCCTCTGACCCTTTCTCCCCCTGTTGTCGATATCGGCCTTCATCTGCGCGTCAATCGGCACCGCGATGCCCCTCGCTTTGAGTTTCGGCCCGGCGACGGGGCACATTCCCCAGAACGCCATCGTCTCGACCGTCGCTCTTGCGATCACGTCGGCATCGACTCCGGCATCCACCCCCGGATAGGCCCTGTCAAGGGCGGTCCTCTTGAGTGCTGGCGCGACGTTGTAAGCAACCTCTCCCAGGGGGCGGTCCCTGTTGATCTCGGCGTTCAGCACCGCCTCCATGACTTTGCCGAATACATCGGCGGTCGCCTGGCTCGCTCCGCCCACAAGCGCCGCCGCCTTCCCTTCTTCCACAGCATCCTCCACCTGGGCATCGCCATTCTCAACGAAGCACCACACAGCGCATGCGGATGCTCCTAACGCCCATGCCGCCATATCCGTCTTCTCGTCGCTGTCTCCCTCCTTTCTCGCCGCTGTCGCAGCGGTCTTCCCATACGCAGCGCACATTGACACGCGGCCAATCAACGCGGACAGCATGGACGCCGACTTCTCTCGGCCTTCCTCGGTGTCGGGATCGACTGGGTACCATATCGCTGGCAGGAGCGCGGCGTGCAGCGCATCGCCAGTGGTCTTGTAATGTCGATACTTGTCGAGGATCTCATTCAGCCTGTCACGCCAGCACAACAAACAGGGCGAACATTAGTCCGCGGCGAAATCCCCATCTTCGTCGGTCCCTTCGCCGACAACGACCATCCCACTCCCCCCGTGAGCCGCCTCCTCGCCGACCTCGTTGCTGAGTTCCGCTGTCGCCCCCTTCCCCTCTCCTTCGATTTCCGCCGATCTCCCACCCGTTTCCGCCGCTCCTTCTGCAACGTTCCCCTCCGCCATTTCCACGTCCACCTCTTCGTCATGCTGCTCCTCTTGCTGCTCGTGGTGCTGCCTCTCGTGCTCCTGCTTCTTCTGCTCCTGCTGCTCCTGCTCCTCCACCGACTCCGACACCGACTCCGACTCCTCCGAGCCCCCCTCATCCTCACGATCCGCCTCACGACCCTGGACCCCATCATCATCCCCATGAACAACCTCGTCCTGGTGCTTCTCATCGGTCCCCGTCACCCCCTTTCGGCCGCATCGGCCTCGTCGACGCCGCCACCCGGCTTCCGACCGAAGCGCCACGCGCATCAGCGATGGTGGGGGCGACACCGCCAGCTTGGGGCGTTGACTGAACCTCCTCGCCGTCGTCGTCACAGACGTCGGCCGCAACTACGTTTCGGCCCGACCGTATGAGCGCGACCTGCTTCTTGATGAAGGCTACCATCTCGGTGCGCAGCCCCTTCAACCCCGCAACAGCGACCTTGTCCATGCTGGTGGCACTGCGACGGAGGGCGCCGGCCAACTGATCCTTCCGCCTCACCGCCCAGAGCAACGCGCTCATTGCTAGCAGGCCGGAGCCCGCGTCCCCGTCCCGGACGGTGTCGGGCACTTTCTGCATACAACAGAGGAGCGCGCTAATATGAGCACCGAGATCGGCAGTCGCATCTCGCAAGGACGAATCGGCAGTTGCATCGCGCATGGAAGTGACACCAATCGTTCGAAACTCACATCTCGAAGGGGTTCGTCGCAGTCGGCGAGCCTCGCATGCACCTCCTCCTCGGACGGCTTCGCCCAGTCCCATTTCCTACCTTCGCGCCGAAGCTCGGCCATAACAACCGCCCGGAAAAACCTGCAAAGCATGGCACAGACGGTCAGTTAGCACGGTGCACGCTCCGCATTGACAACGCAAGCGGCGTCGACTACACTATTGAGCTCACTCCAGCACGCGTTTCGCCTCTTTGATGTGCCACTCCTTCACAGTCTGCGGGTCGGCGTGCCGGATCGAGGTCCTGATCAACTGGCCCGATGCCTTCAACAAGTCGCCGGGGCACAGGATGATAATGACGCTGCAATGTGTTCCCGGAAGCGGTGCGATGCTGCACAGACAATGGACGTCGACATAGATCAGAACACATAATCGACGCAGGTTGCAGCACACTCGCGACGACCCCGAACCAGCTCACCTCGATATCAGTGGGATAACCGCCACGTCGGCGTCAAAAACCTTCGCGAAGCAGGTATGGTCGTTCTGACCCATCGCCGCCCTAAGACGGCCGACTCCTATCGACCACAGCCGCTGGTCCTTCTCCGTTCCGCGCAACCATGCGTGCCTGCACGCATGCATGATCAGGAGGAGTGCGTGAGGATGTGGTCGGGACGCCGGCAGATACTACGGTTGCAGCAATAGCACGACGGGTCGGGGATTCGACGAGAGCCGAATGAATATGGCACAACGCATCGCCTACGCCGACCAGACACCTTACGTCGGCGCCACCGATGTGATCGACATCCCTAATCCCTAAATCATGAGTCCGTCGACCTGAAAGACGGGTGTTATGAAACCACGCTAGGGCTCCACCAGCATGAAATAACGACGCCGACATCCCCATAAGGCACTCACTTGAGGCCGAGTCCCAAGCAACGGGCGTTAAACTCTAGCATAGGGTTTGTCAAAACGGGGTAGTCGTGTTCCTCGAACTTGGATGTGAGTCCTCTACCGACGCTTAGATACAGGGGGAAGTCGCGCGAGGTCGGCGTCGCTTCGGTGGCTTTCTGGTCGGCCGCCATGGCGGGAGAGCGAGGATGCTATGCTACGGGCTAAGGGAAGAAACGGTGGGAGAATGGAAGGCGCAGAGCTGGGAAAGAACATGAAAGAGAAACGAGAACGCGAAAATGAAGGGCCAGGCCACCTCCAACGAAGAAAAGCCAGGCGGAGCCTCGCAGGCCCGGTTGAGCGTCGCCCAGGGGGCCGTGGTCCCTGGCTCGGCAGGGCTCGTGCACGGGTGGCGTGGCACAAGTGCACCCTCGCCGCCGAGCCAGCAGGTCGACGTCACGTCCCCTGGCCTCGGTCGGCCAGGGGACGCAAATTCGCATGCACGCGGTGCGACGTTTCGGCACCACGTGTCGATTTCGCAACGGGTCGCGAAAAATGTGCGCCTTGGTGCGAGCGACCCAGAACTTTGCTCGATTTTCGGCGGGTACGAAATGTCGCATGCATAAAAAATAACGATGCAAAACGACGGGAGGGCACGTGGCGTCACCGCAACGGGTCGCGAAATCGTCGAGCGTCCCGAGGAAGCCCCCGAATTTTGCACAGGCCTCGCCTGCCCGTACGGGCAGGCCGCGATGGGTTACTAGGACCTCGCGGGCAGGAGGGACGGGTGGGCTGCCTTCGCGCCGGGGTTACTTTCCCTCGCGCGAGGTCTCGCCAGCTCGCCGCCCCCACCCGGTAATGTGGGTCGCTGTTCACTTTCGGGGGGGGGGGGGGTTTGCGGGGCGGCGGTCGTGCGCTCGGCCCAGCCCTGGGCCAGGCTGGCGGGCCCGCACGCGCGTCAGTCGCCCGCCTCGTCGGACCCCTCCGTGTCGACCCCCCTCGTCGACCCTGGCAATTCGGCTCCGTCGACCGAATTCCGCTGAGCTCTTCAGCAAGGTTGATGGGCTCGGGGGGATGAACCACGCGCGTCCACACTACTCGGATAAGGGGAGATCCCCTACGCATCGTCACACAAGAAAGTACTCCCGCTAACAACCCCACCCCCCATACACGGTGGTACCAGCCCTCGGCTAATTAGGGCGCATGTCCTTCGGCCAAATTGTAAAGTTCGATTACACACTAACGACTCCGGAAGTTTACAAATCCTTACTGATGCACTCGTTCGCAAGGTCATCCCAAAAGCCACGCAACCAACTGGTTCGGGCTACATTTCCGCACTTAAGGCCCTGTTCGATAGGAAATGGTTGCTTACCAGTGCCCGGTTTGGCAGGCATTAAAAACCGGGCCGAGGGGGATGGGCTACAGTGAACCGACCACCCTGGAACCTTCCTTGATAAGTGTGTGGAAGGTTATCCAGGCTCGATATAAGCGGACTACGCCGAACCTGACACTAATGGAATGCCAACCAAACACCTCGTTTTCCGATGGCGTTTTCAACCCACCGATTCTTCAACAACCCCATTTTCTCTAGCAAATAGCCCATTTTCGGATACCCCGCACCATGCGGCTGCGGAGAGTCACTACACAACGGGAGTGGACTACGGAGGAGGGCACGGGGTTGTCAGAATAACTGAACGAGGAATGAGTGAACTAGCAGTGAAATGAGTACAAGTACCTAACCCTAGAATTGTGTACCCCCTATAGGCTAACCCACTGCAGCCTAAACAAGCACAACACATATAATGTGTGACACACCCCCATAGGCAAAGTGGGGGAGAGCAAGGGGTCATAAGACCAGTCAAAGCAAAGCAAAACAAGCTCAGGGTGGATCTCAAGGATACCACACAAATTCCGAGCACAAGCAAGTGGTCACAAGACCAGTTCACATGCAGGTTGATAATATAACAAGAGATACAGTGATCACAACCTAGCAAGTGTAAACATGCAGGCATATATATAAAGATCACAGTACAAGCAGAGTCAAGAAGTAAGCAAGTGGGGTCCAGCAGGCACAAGGCCTAGAAGAGTACAGAAACGCTGATGGTCACAAGGCTGAAGCGCCTTGGTGAACACATCCGCAAGGTTGGCCTCAGTGGCCACGTAACGCAGACGAAGCTGACCGCGCTGCTGCAGCTCTCGAGCAAGGAAGTACCGCAGGGCGATGTGCTTCGTTCTGTGCTCCAGTCTGTGCTCCTCACACAAGGCAATGGCAGCCTGGTTGTCGACGTACAGCACTGGAGGAGAACGAGGCCGCTCTCCCAAGTCGGTCAGCAGGTAGGTCAGCCAGCGTAGCTCCTGGGCAGCCATGGCTGTGGCGTAGATCTCAGCCTCACAACTGGAGCTGAGAACAGAAGAAGAGCGTGTAGAACGCCAAGAAACTGAGCCGGAGCCAAGGCTGAAGGTGTAACCCTGAGACGACCGCTGAGTAGCCTGGTCGTCCGCCCAAGAAGCGTCTGAGTGTCCAGTAAGTACAACTCGGTCTCGCCCTCCAAGCACTAGCCCCATGCCCGACGTACTGCACAAGTAGCGCAACACCCTCTTAGCGGCATCCATGTGCTCCTTCCTGTGACGGCCAGGAGCGACATAGCGCGCAAGGATGCTAAGAGGGTATGCAAGGTCAGGTCGAGTGCAGGTCATCAGGTACATGAGGCAGCCCACAAGCTCTGGATACGGGCCACTCGGCTCTACGGACTCATCCGAAGGCAGAGTTGAGAGCGAGTGACCGGTAGGCAGAGGAGTGGACTGAGGCGAGGAGTACGTGAAGCGGAAGCGCTGAAGGATCTGCTGCACCATGTGTGACTGAGTCAAGGTGATGGTGCGTCGTGCTCTGTCCTGGGTGATCCGCAAGCCAAGATAGCTTGTCAGTTCACCCAGGTCTGTGCACGTGTGTCTCCTCTGCAGCTCCGACTTCACGTGGGCGAGTGCCGCGGTGTCAGCAGTGGCAAAGACCAAGTCGTCGACGTACACGAGGATGTAGAACGGCGGCAGTGAGGTGTCTGTGCGTAGAAACAGTGACGGGTCAGCAGTAGAGGGAGCGAACCCAAGAGCCGCAAGTGTCGTCCTCAGTGTGTCGTGCCACTCACGTGGTGCCTGGCGGAGACCGTAGACCGGCCGCTGAAGCCTCCACTGGGTACCAGGAGGAACCGACCCAGTGAAGCCAGGAGGGCGGCGCAGCCAGATCTCCTCGTGCAGGCTGCCCTGCAAGAAAGCAGTGCTGAAGTCAAGCGAGTGAAGCTCGTAGTCGCGTTGAGCGGCTATGTGCAGCAGCACCCGAAGAGTGGTCATCTTCGGGGTGGGGGAGAAGGTATGGAAGAAGTCAACTCCCTCTCGCTGACTGAAGCCTCGAGCCACGTAGCGCGCCTTG